TATAACAAAGAGGGGCGTCAATAGTTACACATCAGCATGAAATCTGGAACATGTTATGACTTAGATAGCGAGAATGTTTGCTCAATCATCTAGAATTAGGTTTAATCCTATCAAGTTTTAAACTTGATTCTATTCATGAATAGAATCAAGTTTAAAACTTCACTTTAACAGTGAAGTCATGTGTCTCTACTCAGTTTATGAATAAACTGAGTAGAGACACATGACTTCACTGTTAAAGTGGGATATTTTGTTGAGGAACATTTTAAAAAAGCATCTGAGCAGGTGATTACTGACAAAACAATGAACAGCCTATGCTTATTCTACAGCCATTCATAAAATCAAATCTAGTATTTCTTAACATATTTTTTCGATAGGCAATAGCCTAAGCCTCTAGTACACATTCAACACCAAAGCAGATGTGTTCCTTTTTGATTTATTTAGTGATATTTAATAATATCAATATTATTAAAGTGGCCATTTTACAATGACTCACTCTCTTTCTAACACTTCAGCTTTTTCCAGAGCAAATTTTTTGCAATTCAGGGACCGGGGAACAAAGTCTCAAAATCTTTTGGACTCTAAACCCGCTCAAGACTCAAAACCTGCTCCTAATGCTACACAGACAACTAGTTATGAATCACTGACCTTTATTTTACCAAAACTCGACAACTGAAGTCCTCCTGTTCATGCATTTATGCAAATCGGAGTCCAATAAAAGTAGTGAAGGAATTTAAATATCTAGGTCTTGTTTTGGATTCAACCTTTACTTTCAAAAAGCATGCTAAGAAAACTTGCATCATGCTAAAATACAGTTAGTCTGCTTTTAGACATATTAGGGAATATAATGACTCATGATGCTGCAAAAATTTACTTGGAGGCAATGATAATTCCTCATATTAATTACTGTATTTCTTGTTGGTCACAGATGAGTGACACAGCAACAAAACCATTAAAATCTTTATGTAATCAAGCTGTTAAAGTATTAGACAAAACACCACTGAGGTATCATCATCACAGCATGTTAAACATGTGGAACAAACTCTAACAGAGTCTGAAACCTACCTTAGACCACAAGGATTTTTCTCGCAAAACAAGGAAAGTGCTATTGGAAAACCAGTCATGTCAGCATAGATGTAAATATGACTTTTAATGATGTTTTATTGTAGTAATCTTGGTATGATTTACTTGGACTGATGGTTGTAATGGGCCACTTGAATGAATGAATGAATAGTTGTATTTGAGTGACTAATTACATTTTATATTGTAGGCTATATTTTGCATTGTGATGGAAACACAGATGGAAACTAGTTATTAAAAATTTTAAATAGCAAGGTAAATTGAGGCAACATCAGCTCAGATGTCCAAGTCACACCATAGATTTCATACTAGCCAATTCAAGTGCACAGCAAGCCATGCACCTTAAAAATTAATAAAAACCTGTTGAACAAGCCCCATCAACCAGTAGAAACTGTTATTTCAATGTGTGGCATTGCACAAGAATGTATAGCCTGTCTTTTTATATTGTTGTTCAATGTTCATTAAATAAGCATTAGCTTCCAAGCTAATATCAAACAAGACGCTAGCAATCAGGGTATTAAAAGGTATATAAAAGTTCAGAAATATGAACAGGTCAGGTATTATTATACTATAATAATAAATCATAAAGATCGAAAACATTGAGGTAACTAGTAGATGACTTTAAAAGTCCCATACTGAAGGGTGATAAGGGCGAAGTCACTATTACCAGAGAGGTTACACCCAAACAACCTAGTGACTGGTAAAAACTGTCACTGCTCAGAATTTAAAATAAAAAACAAACATATAGATGACAAGTAGATGACATAACAGGACGGTCCTCACTGCAGAACACAAAATCCAGGGGGAGGAATTGGATCCAGATCCAAAATCTCCCACCTTATATACCCTAAACCTGTCCATCTCCACCCCCTGAACCCTAAACTCAGTCCTAATCCTACCCATCTCCACCCCGTAGATCTCGATCCAACTCCACCCCCTGGATCTCGTGTACTGCAATGAGGTGCTACTGGATATAACAGATTCTGCTCAAGTCAGCCTATACATGCAGGCTTGACTTCAAGGTTAATATGAAGCCTATGCTACTGTAAGGTCATCTGAATCTATATTTAATAATAGTTACACTACTAAGGAGACAGAGAAGCACATCTATCCAGAGACATATTTCAATAATGGTCAAAAAAGCTTACATGGGCTGGATTGTTTTGTGTAAACAAAGGAAACAGCGGAGAAGCAAAAAACAGGGGAAGTAGTGGATTCACATGCTACATTTTTACCATTATTATTTAGGTGAATATAGGACGCTTAGAAGTCCCTGAAATTAGCCCGTATGCCAACCCGAACCCTGCTCAAAACATTTTTTGAATGGGAACTTCGGTCTGGACTCGATCCAGTATGATTGGTTCAGAAATCGTCGGGCCAATCAAATTGCCAGGGTAGGCTTAAAAGAATGATGGACAGATGATCTGCAGTTACGTAATCATCACGTTATTAAAGAGCGCTTGGTTTGAACTGATTTCCCTCAAAGTTGCCTGCAGCTGAAGAATTGAGATAGAAAGATGTGTTTGCGTCCTTTCAACAGGATTCGGCAAAAATGTATTTTATCAGCTTGCTCCGATGGTCACTAAGAAGATGGGATGCAATGAAAACCCTGTGGTCGTTGTGGTTTCTTCTTTGGTTGCACTAATGGAGGACCAAGTAAAAGAAGCAACACTCATTATTTTACTACTACTTCCAACGTGTGTGCACTGGAGTTCTGTTGACAACTATGCATAGCTCAGCATACGTCACTTACTGCGTTGCTCTGAATTGTTGTAGGCCTATTCGATTCGCCTTTGACTAAGCCACGCCCTAGAATGTAGATTGACCAATCACAGCGCAGCCAAGAACGAGCTCCCACAGAGGTCCAACACTTTTTCACAGTGCTCCGTTGACTTTCAACACAGGCGTCTCATATTTTTGGTCTCGGCAGGCTATTACTGTCATAGTTTTCTAAAAAATTTGGTTAAACGTTGTGCCTGGGGCATTTGTAACACAGATTCACGTTTCCCAGAGAGGTTGGAGGGGGGTGCCCGTTTTTTCCCTTCCCAAAACCGAAGTAAAATCCTGACAAGTGTCGTCTTTGGATTAAACTGTATGGACGTCCTGTCAGCTAAACACAGCAAAGATCAACAAGCAAATCTTTTTTGCTTCTAACCTTACTGTGAAGTTAGTTAGACCGTTTTATAATGTTTTAGGTTATGATTTCAGTTCTCATACCGGTTGTTGATAAGCTAGCACACGCTGCTAATAAGTACAACGTTATATTCGTGTAGTCCATTTGCTTTGTAATAACGATTATAGAAGTGAATAGAGACCTACCCAGCTTTGCATGAACAGTGTTGCTCCCTGATATTGTTAGTCCCAGCCTCCGTCTCGATTAGTAGGGAATGCGGTGGTTCATTTTTTGACTGTGACTGGTAACGTTATGCTTTTGCCTCTATTTTGGATGCCTTGTTGTTCCTTGCATTTCACCTGTATGTCTTGAGTATAGCCTTCGAACGCATATTGCAGCCCCTTTTGCCTACTTCTATCGGACACTTTATTTGCTACATTATTAAAAGTTTGATAACATTTCAGCAGGAAAAGCTGTCACAGCATAAGCCATGTTGATACCAAACCAGAGCCCAGATGAAGTTTGTCGGATGTAAAAACAGTAACTAAGGGGGGTGGGGCTTAGCCAAAGGTGAACTAAAGGTGCGTTCCATTCGACCGTAAGTGGACTGCGAAGTGGACTTCACAGGGTATTTTGCCATCTTAAGTGAGACTCCAATTCGAAGGGAACGAACATGTTCATTTCGAAGGGCACTGCAAACGGCATAGGGAATAAGGGAACATCGATACATCACTTCACAGGAAGTCAGTGAAGTCCACTTCAACTGATATACCGTGTTCAGGGAGTAGGGAGCAGTGAACACTTGTGTAGGGACCCTGTCGAATGGAACGCACCTTGAGTGCAGAGTTGTTGTTTTTTTTTTTTTTTTTCTCTCTTCGTTTTTTTTCTTCCTGGTTTGGTTAAGACACGCCTCATAGATTCACATTCTGACTAGAATATGATTATGACAAAGTCAGGCTATGCTGAAATATTAGTAGAAGTAATTTTAAGGCAACACTTTTTTTATACACAAATGGAAGTGAAACATTCCATGAACACAATTAGTGTCCAAAAAATATATAGTTTATTGTCCAAAAAAAAATAATAATAATTGTTTCATGTTCTTAACTGTGTCCAGCAGAAAGACAAATCAGCTATTTGTATTTTTATCTATTTATGCATTTATTTATTTCTTTTACTTATGGGAAATACAAGTTTTGCAATACAAACTAATATTTGGCCCGAAACATAATGCCACTTCTGAATGACAACTTCATTGTGAATTTTTTTTTTTTTAATAATAAAGTTCTTAACAAAAACACGATTTAATTGTATGCATTTAATGTGTATTTGTAGGCTATTTAGGGTTTAAGTAAAAATAAGTCATATTTAATTCATTTGACCTAATGAGTTTGACGTGCCATATTTTGCCATAAAATCAATGTAAGGGACACATGCTGTACTCTATTCATTGAAAATGTTAAATATATTTGATTCATACACGTAGGCTACTAACGTTAGGCTACACAAGCAGAACATAAACGTTGGTGTTTTTAAAATAAACCTCCACATCAATTTAACACGCGCAACATCCGCAAAAACGCCCGTCTCGCGCAATCTGTCATCGGCGGGGTCCAACTAGCAAAATAATTATAACGGCTGTCATATTCAACTGACATTTTTCATAAAGAGTGAAATATGAACAGACGGGCTTCTGATAACTGACTGTAAAACAGTAACAAAAGCTCGAGCTGGCGTAAAAGATCATTTCTAGACTTCAAAAACGAGCAAAAGAATGGATAAAAAAGAACCCAAATATACACATTACCTCTCGGTGACTTTGTCCTCCACAGTCTCGTCTGCTATCTTGTGGAACGCATTAATCGCCTGTTCCGATACACCCTGTAGTTCCTCTGAAGCTGAAGCTGCTGGTGTCATAAACCCCACCCTCTGGACATGCAAATGAACAGGATGTGATGTCATTAACCGTAGACCCCGCCTTCGTGAGGAGGGATGAACGGGATATGATGTAATAAACAGATATTCTGCAAGAGATAGGCTACTATCCATAGAAATTTGTTAACCTTTCTACACTGAAAAAAATGATTCTGAGTGCATGTAAATGTTACGTAGTTAAAATGTGTAATATTAACAATAAAATGTTACGTTTAATAAAAAAAAAAAATAAAAAAGGCTACTATCCATCCATAAAAGATAAAAATAAAAAAAAAAAAATAAAAACAGGCTACTATCCATAACTTGTGATGTTTTATTATTATTATATATTTTTTATTAATGCTACATTAACAAACAGTATAAATATACAAGTATAAATACATCTATACATACAAGCAGTATAAACAATATATCAAAACAAGGCGAAATTATGATACCGAATACATTAAGAGAGGAGATATGAAAGAAATTAAAATAGAGTAAGAGAAGAAGGAAAGGGAAGATGAGGGCATACAAGAAAAAAAGAAAACATATTAAACATGGTAAAAATTCTAGATGTTTCATTGCTTTCTTATTAACAGATGTGGGTTTACTGTTCAAATATTTAGATTTATGGATATGGAATTGTCCAATATATAAAAGAAGGTTTATACAAAAACATGCATTAACAAAACTATTGTCTTTGACATAAAATCCAAAAAGAATGTGTCTAGAAAAATTACAAAAAAAAAAAAAAAAACATTTTAGGCAAAGTTTAGAGAGTCCGTCAATGACTTTAATAGAAAAATACTGTATTCATAACTGTAACTTTTTATACACAAGTTTGCAATCTTCATGCATGATGTTACAGTGTTGACATAAAGACAAAAAAACCCTGTTAAAATGCAGGTATGATAAGAACTTGATGCTAATTAACTTTTTTTTATTATTCAAAGGCAGTGAATAACTGTCACAAAAACTACCCTATATCATAATATACAAAATTATAACATATCCCAAACACTGGTTTTAAAATTGCATGAAACGGAGGTTGCGTTAGTCTTCTTTTCGGCTTCTCTGTCAAAAAAAAAAATTAAGGATGGGACTTTTTTCCCCATCGGGAGTTGATTGGACCATTGTTGTTTGGTATTGCTGTGATGATCTCATGTGAGTGACAAGTTGTCACACCCTAGGCTATTTTGATTAAAGAATTAATAATAATAAATCATTTATCATAAATACTGCCATAAAATAATATGAGTAGTCAAGGATTACCAAGTATGAAGGCCCCCTTCCTAAAATATTAAAAACAGATATTTTATTTAAGTTTTAAACTGTATAAGAAAAAAAAATCGTCTCCTTAATTAGTTATTAAAATGTTATCTGAAAAATATTACCATTGCAAGTTGACATTAAAAGCAAAGATAGCCTACCGTACAGTAAATAGGTTATTGATGCCCCCTTATTGTTGAACTTGTGAATGACTGAATGAATGAATGAATGAATGAACAAACTATAATGATACCATACAGACAAATAACAATATAAAATTCAGACAGTTTACAAATGAGCCAAGATAGTTTGTATGGTTTTGAGTTTCTCCAGAAAGTGAAGTTGCCGGGCCTTCTAAGGAGGTGTTGTGGTTACAGGAGAATTCCTCAGTGGACTGTGGAAATTTAAGCCTGAGGAAGTGGTTTACAGTCAACTTCCAGAAGTCAACAATCATTTCTTTTGTTTCACATTAAGAAATTGATGTCTTTGCGGTACAAGGTCTCTCACAACCCTCCAGAACACACTGTAACATCAGTTACGATCCGGACTTAGAACACAGTTTTGAGGACCTCTAGTGTTGCGAGGAGCACTTTCTGTTAGGCAGGAAATCAAGGAAATCAGTTGCAGAGCAGTGTTAAGTGCAAGAATGGACTGGAGTCATTCAGTGATAGGCATGATGTTGTTGAATGAAGAACTGAAGTCAGTGCACAGCATGACAAAAGTGTCTTCACATGACCCTCTCATTCATACAGCAGAGTAGCTCTGTCTGTAGGCATCATGGGAGTACTGGAAATGTCTGCATTTAGACCTCTACTTTGGTGGGGAATTGTGAGGCTGTGGCAATCTTCCTACTGAAATAGCATGTGACCGATGATGAAATCATCCTCACAGATGGCAGGTTTCAACATGTTTGTATCCTGGACATGTTCTGGCTAGGTAAACAAATTCCCTAATTTGAGTGACTGGTATGCAAGGAAATGGATAGTCATAAATTAAATAGGAAGACTCTATCCCCTGGTTCACTGTCTACAAGCTCGTGAGCTCGCGAGGTTACAACTTTTTTCTTTTCTTTTTTCTTTTATTTTTTTATACAGTCTGTGGCTGTGGGTTACAGTCAGACCCTCTTGAGAAAGAATGAACGTAACAGAAGTTCTTCGCCCCTCCTTCTCTTCTACTCTGGCACTCTTTCTGGCAGCAATAGCCTAACGTTACTTCACAATCGTTCCAATGAAGATCAATGGGAGGACACAGACATTCACCGATGAGTGTGCGCGGTAAGTTATTCTAAATTTGTCAACAACGCAGTCTAAACGGTTACATTACAGTCAGCAAAAAGGCAAACATAACAAACATTTGCGCGTCTCTCGACGACCTCTATCCCCCACTCGTTGTTGCTATCAGTTAAAACGGTTCTTCACTGCGGTCACGTGACACGTTCAGGACTTTCTTTAATAACGACTTAAGTCACTTATAAACGTATTGTTTATATATCTATGCAAGTAATTACCCAGCAACCAATGTAAAGTGATTAGGTAACTAAATGTATCTTACTTTCAAGTGCCCATTTTAAATGGCAATGATAGTAACGTTAGATGTATAACGGGCTGGGCGTTTGATCACGCGGTGATGAGCAACATAAATATTAAACGTAAGTTACGTCTTAAGTATTTACTTTAAAGTTTTACTTTAAGACTAATAGTCTTAGTCGACGAATCCCTTACCAAACGTTACGTGTCTAGGCTATTTTTAGATTTTTGTAATAATGGAAGAAATGTAATTTTCAAGAAGTTCACATTTGTTTAAAACAATAACGTTAGCCCTCTTTGTTAGATATTAAACCATAATCAAACATTACCATTTCAACAATTTTCTTTGTACAAAGTTAGAAAAGAGTGAGTGAGAAGATAGCATACTCCGGAAACTGTATTGTGGTCCGTAAACAAAACAAAACAAAAAGAACAGGAAATAACTGTTTCCTTATCAGTTGGTAAGCATGATTGGTTCATATATGATTCACATTCATACAGTAAACATTATGTCAGTAGTGGCAACAAGTAACTCTTTTGGGGTGAGAGAAATTTTTAAATAGACAATTTTAACATTATTGTGTCAAAATGTACCACTGTTTATATAAAAGCCATTTTTATATATATTTTAGGGTCTAATATCCAATGTTGCTTACTAGATACACCTGTTCTGTGGTCAAATATTTGCTCAACACTTACCTAATGTATTACCTAACACCATAATAAAAATTCCTTTCATTGCAATATTCTTGTTTTGCTGTGTTTGCTATTCTAGGAAGTTTTGTTGTTAACTACATTGATGACTACATTAGTAGCCCTTGTGTATTTCATGCTTGTCTTCACAGGAATTAACCCATGAGACTCTCAAAGCCCAAGCATGAATCAGGGGAGCGGTGCTTGTTTGTGGACCTCAGTGCCACAACAATGCCCTGCACCATCTGATCGTTACAAGCACGCTTCTTGTGCCCACAGAGAAAATGTTTACTTACTAGGTGGTAGAGAAAAATGCTCGCTGGTAATGGATTTCTGGAAATATAAAGTGGGTATGTTATTGTTATTTATCTGTCTGTCTGCTGCTTTGGACACTTGCACTTGTTATTGCACAGTATATGCAGCATTGACTGATTATAATCAGGGGAAATGTCTATATTTTTAGTCTGTAATGAGTGGACCAAGCTTCCTTGTAATAGTGAAGAAGCACCTGAAGAACTGGAGGAGCACACTATGGTAGCACATCAGGTACTTATAAATTAATTTATTCATTATAACAAACCCACTGTCAGGGATTGGGATTTGACCAGTTTTAAGGAACATTGTGGCTTTGTGAAATGTACATTTTCATATATTTACATAGATTTAATTTTTCATGTAATATATTTCTTATAATCATATAATTATTTCCACTTTTTCTTCTAAGGAATTTCTCTATGTCTTCGGAGGAATGCAAGATTCATCGTATACTAACTCAAAAATTCCCTTTTGGGTGTTTGATATAGGTATGCTTTTCTTTTCTGTTCAATTTTATGACAAGTTATAAGCATAACAATCTAAAATAAAAATGTAATAGGTCAAAATTAATCTGAATTTCAGATTTTTTTTGTTTGTTTTGTCCCCATTTTCCTTTACTGACAGCAACACTTGAGTTGCATAAATGCAGATTTTGTTTTAGCACAGCAATATGTCACTTTGTTGTTCACCTCTTCAGTTTTATATTCTCTGTAGTTAAAAACTGCTGGATTAACTGGAAAACAGGGAGTGACAATTTACAGGTGAACATCTTTGATTTTACAAGACTTAAAGGGTTAGTTCACCCAAAAATGAAAATTAAGTCATTAATTACTCACCCCCATGCTGTACCAACCCCGTAAGACCTTCGTTCGTCTTCGGAACACAAATGAAGATATTTTTGATTAAATTTGAGAGCTGTATAACTACCACATTGGCTCCTAAGGGACTGCCTCTTGACGGCCCAAAAAGTCAATGAAGAAAATGTTTAAATATCCCAAGTGACTACCGTGGCTCAACTATATGTTTATCAAGCGATGCGAATACTTTTTGTGCGAAAAAACAAACAAAAATAACGAGTTTATTCGACTATTTCTTTTCTTCCTTGTAGGCCAGAACGAGACTTCCTTATAGATTTCCACGACGCATGCGCGAGAATTGCGATCTGAAGTAGTGTAAGCTGGTGTAAGCAGATCGCAAATCTCGCGCATGCGTCGTGGAAATCTAAGGAAGTCTCGTTCTGGCCTACAAGGAAGAAAAGAAATAGTCGAATAAACTCGTTATTTTTGTTTGTTTTTTCGCACAAAAAGTATCCGCGTCGCTTGATAAACATATAGTTGAGCCACGGTAGTCACTTGGGATATTTAAACATTTTCTTCATTGAGTTTCTGGGCCGTCAAGAGGCAGTCCCTTAGGAGCCAATGTGGTAGTTATACAGCTCTCAAATTTAATCAAAAATATCTTCATTTGTGTTCCGAAGACGAACGAAGGTCTTACGGGGTTGGTACAGCATGGGGGTGAGTAATTAATGACTTAATTTTCATTTTTGGGTGAACTAACCCTTTAAAGCTGGAATACTTGATGGTCCATGTAATATAGTAAACTGTTTTTGCAGGGAGTGACACCAGCAAACAGAAAAGGGCATAGTGCAGTCATCTTTGGGTCATTTATGTATGTCTATGGTGGATACATTGATATAAGAGGATCAACAAAAGAATTCTGGAAATTTGATTTTGGTGAGTGTTATTACATATTTATGCTTTTTGGTATGCAAGTATCTCTGAAGATTGAATAATTACTGTTATCCATTTTAGCTAAATGACCTTTCCAAACTAATTATATTTACTACATGTTAGATTCCAGGATGTGGTCACTACTAAGCAGTGCACAAGGTGGGCCTGGTCCCAGACATGGTCACTCAGCTGTGACACACCAGGACTGTATGTACCTCTTTGGTGGCTTGCAGGGCCTTAGGGAACAGAAGGACTTGTGGAGCTGGAATTTTGCCAGTCAAACCTGGAGCCACATCAATTTCCAGTGAGTTTCTTTATTAACACCCATTGTTAATTTCTTCTATAATTATGTGTGTCTATCTATCTAAATTCCCTGACTTGATGATCACAACTGATTCTCAGTAAAAATGTCATACTCTTCATACACGACCTCTAAACATTCTTTCATCATGTGAGCAGTCACATGCAAAATGATCCATTCAATTACATTTTTTTTGTGTGTGTCATTGTTATACACAATAGCATTCATCTAGACAAAACTGACATACTTGTATAGTAAGAAGTCAGTGTCAACAAAAATGTTAAATTTGTATGTAGCGAACATTTCCAGGATATATTGCCATGGTGATATATGTTTATATATATATAAACATTTTGACCTGTACGACTCACGTTATGACAAAGGTTTTGGTGTAATTGGCCACTACATTGAGTTACTACATTTTACATATGCAATAGAGTTAAAGGGATACTCCACCATTTTTTTTCATATTTAACTGTTATTCCCTTTACTAAGACAAGTTGATACATACCTCTCTCGTCTCTGCTCTGGCGTGCGAGAAACTCTGGGTCGAACATGTATAGGCGAATCATTCCGGTTGCCATTTTACAACATTGGACGTTTTCAAAACAATTTCCCCCAAGTGCACCGACGGGTGAGTTGAAACTCATTATAATATACAAAACTGTTATCCACTCACGGCAGTGGGCGTTTACTTCCAAGTCTTCAGTGCGAGACGCCCATAAAAACCAAGCGCTTTTCAGCTAGGCTCAAAACTAGGGTACAAAATAGCCTATTACTTATTCATTTTGATGTTTTTGAATGCAAAAACCAAGCGAATGTCTTAAGTTGACCACAGACAACAATAAAATAAAATTTAAAAAGCCAGTTCATGACCCCTTTAACTTATCTCAGTTTAGTTCATTCATTAGGATCCAAGCAGAGAAGCGACCAAAGACGTGATGCTATTACTGTGCCGAGTCCATAGATATACTGTATATGCACCGAGTCGAAGTGTTCCCAAGTGGTATTCCGCCATATATTATAGTTATCCACTTCACACGCTTAGAAAAGTGCAAAGTTTTATTTTGTGTCATCATTCTTGGTCAAGTTACACTGCTAGTGTAACTGTATTTAAATAGGGAACATTTGGAGGTGTTTGGTCGCTTCTCTGCTTGGATCCTAATGAAGGAACTGAGATAAGTTAAGTTCTATCAAAGTGTCTCACACACCAGATTGAGTGCTCGCACTGAGACAAGAGAGGTATGTATCAACTCGTCTTAGTTAAGGGAATAACATAGTTTAACATGAAAAAAAGTTTAGAGAATGTAAGTTCTGTTGAAAAAATAATGAGCCAAAGCAACTGAGGAAAAACTAATCAGAAGCATCTAAACACATATTTCCTACTCTGTAGTTCAGGTCCCCCGAGGCTGGTTGGTCACTCTGCTGTATTGTTCAAAGACAGCATGCTCATCTTTGGTGGAGGGGACACCCAGAGTTCCCCTCAGAACAGCTTGTGGACGTTCAACTTGAAGACAAAGGACAGGACCTGGAAGAAGCTTGCATTGTTGCCTGGATCTGCCTCTCTGTGCCGGATTCACCACTGCAGCATTGGCCTAGGCCAGAGTTTCCAGCCAACAGCACCAAACAATGTCTTTTTCAGGGAAATACCCTACTCTCACAACATCAATAACAAGCTGAGGCCATTTAAGAACAAATGCCAACCGTCACTCAGCACAATGCAAGAGCCCTGTATTGAGCTCCAGACTTTCTATATGGACAATAAGAAGTGTTTAGCAGATTTGAGTACTGCACTGAAAGACACTAAGCTTAAAGGAAGCTGTCTCACCTTTGAGAATCAGGAGGCTGTTTGCAAGGAGGGGGATAGTGGTGACCTTACAGAGGAAAACGAGGACGCCATGTTTCTCCATATGCCTGACTTCCTGTTAGTCCTGGGTGGTAAACCTCTACAAGGACAGCATATGATTTCAGTGTGGCATATGACAGTGGCATAAATATGATGTTTTCAGTGCATTCTACTTTCTCTATGAGAAAAGAAAAGGCATTAACAAAAATACCCATATATCCTTGTGGGAGAACGTTTGCATTAATGGATTTCAGTCATGTACAAACTCTTTACAGCGTCTGTAATTATTACCTTGAAGGTGAAGTTTGTCATTTTTTATGGCACAATACTTTCTCCTACCATTTTAATGTGTATAAACCATAATCAACAACTCTAAGTTAGATATTTGGATGATGTCCCTGACAAATCGCTCTGAGGTGCTATCAGAATATTGCTCTATAGTTTAATTGACAGAGACTGTGATATTTTTGTTCTCTGTGTGTTTTGTAAGATCCACGGATATTACTGGCAGAACAGCAGCATCATGCGACCTTTACACATTTATTTTCTTGCCTTCACGTTGTTTCAAGATGGCTGCACTTAAATGATTTAATAAGTAATGCATTACACGAGTAATATGGAATCCATTCTCAACTATTAAAATTTGTTACAGCAGTAGTTATGTTATCATTATTATTTTATTTTATTTAAAAAGTAATATAGGAAGGTTTATAAACATATATTCCTAGAAAACTAAATGTGTAGCATGTTTGTATTAAATAAACTATGCTAGCTACAAATTGTTAAAATAGTTATATATATATATCAAAACCATTTATAAATTATGCTTATGCAGTATGTATATATTCAAACCAAAATTTACTAACAGAGACCTTTAGCATTTCTCACATTATCAAAGTTTATTATCTATAGTTTAGAAACGGTAATAAAATATGAAAAGAACACAGAGTTATCAAATCAGTTGATATTCAACTGGTTTTGGCCCTCCTTCTGTTAGACTGTCTTACAAATGAAATAGGTTGAACAGCTGTCAACACATTTAGATAATACCAATATAGGTCAACAAATTACCCAGCAATGCTTAATTTTAATTTTGGTTTGTGGTATAAAAGGTTGCATTACCATTTAAAAAAAAAAAAAAAAACACGAGCAAAACAGTCAAGGTCAATTTTTATACATTTTACTGGTAGTCCACTATATGAATAATTTTTGGGTATAATATGCGACAGTTTACTTAATTTTGCTATCGTGCACCCACTAGTAAAGAAATATACAAAATTATATCTGGTGTCTGAATAATTTTTTGTTTGACTTTTTTTATATATATAATATCATACCAATTATAATATATTATAAATTGACCTGTACATACATGTCTACATGCATGTAGTATTTATTACCACTTGAGGGCGACAAACTTTGCCAGTCACACCGTTAAGAAATTCAAGAAATGTACAAATCAAACAGATATTTAGCATATTCAACAATCACCTAAACTCTTTGGATTATTCAACATATTATTTTTTTTGTATATTGAGTATATAATGTGATCAACATTCAATCAGCTAATTTTAATAATAAATAGTGATAAAAAACAGATGTAGACCATCTCAGTATCCTTCATCCACAATATAAATGGATCATTTACAATGGATAAAAATGGATAACTGGTATTCCATTATGAAAAATGTGACAACCATTGCAAGTGACATCAAAGACCTAAACGCAAGACGGTGTGTCATCTTTAAATAGTAATGAACTGCATTTTGTTGGGAATTAATTGCAATTGTTATATATTAGGACAAACCATGGGTAAAAATTGTTTACATATGCTGATAATCTTTACAGAAGTTATATATTCTGAAGTGGCACAAAGTATACTCCACAAAAAGGTGTTTTGTTGTTTACTTTTGCAGAGAGATGGTATCAATACACAAGCAAAAGCAATGTTATTAAATTTCTAAAATTCCTTAAATATACCTTTCCAAACACAGAAACCAGAACCATTAATTAAACAAATATGAAGTAGGCTTTATTAGTATTATATTAGTAGCCTATGTAGCTAGCCTACGCTATGAATATTCATTATGACATGAATATTACATATTTTATACGACAAAATAGTCAAATGTACGGATTAATGATAATGTATATGGCCATAGCAATGTAACATGTATTTATTTTGTTGAAGCGATAGATGGCACCATATCACCTAAGCACAAAATGTGACATTGTAATCCAGCTCCTACCCGCACTACACTGAAATAAATAAACCGGTGTGTTAATTTACCAAGCGAAACTTTGTTGACCAAATTTTCTCAGGCTTTGCAAAAGCGACTCCATCATCTAAGTGTATTTTATAAATTGAATCTAAAATTAAAATGAATGACAATTATAATCATCAATAAACCATACAGGTGCTGCTTTATAACTTTTTAAATATTTCTTTATATACATAAAAACACGATGCATAAACTGACGTCAAAAGCAACAACCACCAGAACTTTTAGATATTATGGTTAAATGTAGCCTATTGTTCTGCTGTTTGAAAGAAACAATTTAAGTTAGGACAAACACTGCAGTCATGTTGACATTGAAAAGGTTAATGTGTAAAACGTTGTATAGCCTATATATTTGTATAGCCTATATATTATATTTGCAGATCCAGTGGTTATGCACATATGCAGCACGCTAAACGTAACTTGTTAGCGTAATCTCTCGCGTCCAGTTGGTTGGGCGTCCCCACGTGGTTTGAAGTATAAAAAAGTTTCAGCGCGAGGTGCTCTAGTGTCGTGATAATAACACGAGAGAAAAGACCAAAGGACAACATCCCTCCTGAGGCTGAAGAAAAACGAGAGAACATACACAATTCACAACACCATTACTGAGAGAAGAGGAGCACTTGACATTCGGTGGAAAGACAAACAGTGCATTTTTGTCTTCAAACAAGAAAGAGTTTTTGACTACACTGAACTTTAAAGGAATACGTTACACGACCAGTAGCCGGTTTGTTTTGATTCTTCACACAAGTCAATTTGTCAGTTACCCCGGAGATAAGGAGCTTTCGCGCTTTTTAACTGACGTCAATTAAGACTGATATTATTTTTTTGCGACTAGCCATCATTATTAATCAATGTGTTTACACTTGCTATGAACGTTTCTAAAAAAATGACCGCGAGCATGATGATGAATGGAGATCTGTCAAAGGAGGTTGTTGGAAACGTTACAACTCTGTCCTGTTTATAGATCAATTGAATTCATGAACTGATTTGTTTGCTGTAGACACGCTATTTAAGAAAATGAGTATTTACATCCTCTCTCTAACCTGTTTAATGGCTTGCATGCTCTCAGCCCAGTGTAGTCTGGGAGCTGAGACGGTATCGCAGGAGTCTCAATGTGTCTCTTGTGGACTTGGGCATTCGGATGATTCGGGGCGACTGGACACGGACTTTCTGGAGGCGGTTAAAAGGCACATATTGAACCGGCTGCAAATGAGAGAGAGACCAAATATCACTCATCCCATTCCCAAAGCTGCCATGGTAACGGCGCTGCGCAAACTTCACGCGGGTAAAGTTAGGGAGGACGGGAGGGTTGAAATTCCCAACTTAGATGGACATGCTGCCTACAACGAGGTGCAAGAAGAAACGTCGGAAATAATCAGTTTCGCCGAGTCAGGTGTGTACAAGAAATAGCATGTTGCATGGCTACTTTCACCTTAATTGTAGAACTATTGATATTGTGGATTCTATTAGTTATCATTTAAATCAAAAACTTAAATGTATGGGGGGGGTATGATTTATTGTAGAGGATGTACTGTAATCATCAATCACTAAACATGTTTTACAAATCAACTATTTCGGTAACACTTGGTGCACTAACTAATGCACAGATAATACTGAATTAATGTGTAACTAATGATTATCTAAGCTATTCATTGATGATTACCACATTAGGAACTAATTAAGAGTCTGTAAGGTTAATGTACATTAATTGTTATTAATTAAATATGTAATTGTCGATTAATTCCATAATAACTCATTTTTTAACTAATAGTGTGAATCAATATGTTAATTACCAGAATGAGCCGAAGCCTTGTATTTCAACTTCCAGATAATATGACAGGTACACTAATAAGCATTAATACATGATTAATTACTCCATTGTTAGTGCAAATTCATGTGCAAATTACTACAATTACCAAATGATTAGTTAATAATGATGTGCCCAAACAAGTAAAGTCATAACACAATGATAGCTTTGCAAATCATTAGCTAATGATTAATTAAAGCAGACGACTGGAAGTTGAAGTGCATAGCTTTGACTAATTGTGGTAATTAACACATTCATTTACACTTTTAGTTAATAAAATATGTTATTAAGGAATTAATACACAATGACGCATTGAATTAATAGCAATTCATGTTTTACTTAATATATTAATCATATAGACTCTTTATTAGTTGCTGATGCAGTAATCATTAATCAATGGTTTAGTTCTTCATTAGTTATACATTAACTCGGGATTATCTGTGCATTAGTTAAGTATGAATTACCCGTATTGTAAAGTGCTACCACTATTTCATTTACAGGTCGAATAGATATCAATACATTGTACCAAAAGTATTAGCAGTTAACTATATGTACTTACTATAGGGTTAGGGTAGGATTGGGGTTTTGGTTTAGGGTTAGTTGCATGTAATTATGGCAAATTTATTAGTTATTACTTACTATAAACGTGTAACATATGTAACAAAGGACACATTAAATCAAAGTGTTACCATGGTGTCAGTACATGCCACATTGACCTTGTTTGAGTGACTTTAGTAAGCTGTGACATTCAGTGGGTCTGTTCCTGTTCCAAAACCACTGCCTACTACCGTCATAGGGAACATGTTTTTCAGTTTCATGCATTGCACTATTTATGAGTAGTGGGGATCTATCTATCTTTAATAGATTAAATTTAATACTTCTAATAAGAACAGAATGCATACACAGGCATACATACATACATACATATATATATATATATATATATATATGTGTGTGTGTGTGTGTGTGTGTGTGTGTGTGAATTTTGTGATTATAATTTAGCCATTACAAGATTTTCATGACAAAGATGTTGCAGTGATGCAGTAAATTACAGTTACTGAATATGATTTGCTTTAAACAAGTGTTGCAATTTTGCTATTGTGGGTTTTTAAAGGGTTAATGAGACCTTGATCTAATATTTGTATGATTATGGAACTGAAGCAATTAGAATACATGACCCTCTCTTTACATACAATTAGATATGCTGACAGAAAATAATAATTAGTTTGTCAAATGATGACCTTTGCTAGGTGGGTGTTCCTTGATCATCTTCGGGAATGGCAAAAGAGCATCAAAAACATGCCAATCAAATTATTACAGATAATTTGTTAATAAGAGGTAAAGAACATGTCCACGCCTTTTGCCTTATTAACAGACAATAAAGCAATAAAAAAACTTGTTAAAATGAATACAATGCCTTTGTATTTACTTCAAAGGAATTTATACTACTTAAAATAAGTGTTCCCATGGTCATCATAGATAACTTGGAAATTTGAGGTAATTATTTGAGGTAATTGAAAAGTAATGAAAATATAGTGAATGTATATTCAATTACTTTTAAAAACACTTATGCAGCAAGTAACTCTGAACAACTGAGTAAGTAATGCAACTTCATTGAAGGAATGGGAACCCTGTAACTACATAGTTACCCATTAGTTCCAGAGGAAAGTGACTTTTTTTTTTTTAACCAGTTCATCTACTATAGATCTATGGTTCAGCTCAATCTACAGGAAAATGTATGAAGCTTGTAACGTGTTAGAAAACATGAATAACATTTTGCTCATTAAGTTCTGTAAATTTACATGAGCAACATTAAATAGAAGCAGATTTGTATATAGATAATCTTAACCTGTCGTCATTATTGGGAAGGATAGCTAATTGATTTGTTAAATATTTTATAATTTTTTTTTTTTTAAAGTTGATGATTCAGGCTTCTTGGAAAAAAAACAAAAAAAAACAAGCTTTTTTATTCTCTAGTCTCACACAGAGAAGCACAATTAGCTTGGACATTATCCGGACTTCTTGCTCCAATAAGAATGGTCTGAACACACTCATGACAGCGCAACAAAAGAAGGCAATTATTGAGCGAGTACTGTGCGTTCTTGCTAAACCCAATATGTCAACATTGGGAACAAAAACAACAAAGAAATCACTCAGAATAATGCATGAGACATTTGAGTCGTTGTGGGTGACAGAGGCTGGGATGGGGGGGGTGGCCTTCTTATCCTACTCCGAAAATGCATTTCAAATATCAAAGCTCTATCAGGCCTCTTTTCAGTGTGCCCTATTATTCACGACACCTTTGAACCACTGAGCAGCAATGCATCATGAAACTGGCTCCCCGAACCCCCATCTGCCTCAAGGCCAGCTGGCACTAACCCCTCAAGTGAAGGCTGCCAGCCAGGGCATAGCATTAGGACAACCCTAGATCTATCCCGCTCAGAGGTACAAAAAGAGGAATTTGTGAGGTATGCAATGTGCAAATCACTGCAGCTGCAGGCAATTGTGCCGCCTCACGTGTTGCATGCTCTTCCCTGCTGTTATGCGCTATGATGGCAAGCCAGAAGGTGGCTCCTATCCCACTCCATGCTTTAGGAGAGCAATAATAAGAGGACTGCCAAGGTACAGGAGAGCACGGCTGCCAATTTCAGGTCTCTATTGACACTGTCCTATGGGCCATTTCAGAAGTATTTGGTGTCCCGTAGCCACAGAAGCGGAGCGGTAGATGCTCGCTTCTCATTTGTCAGCGTGACCATTCGGACTCGCTGAACTCTTCAGGACCAGTTCAACGCGGGGTATTAAGACTTCATTATTAGACATTATTCAGTGTGGCACAGTGTCCATAAGGTCAAAGAGCCAAATCGATCTCTTTAGAAAATCTTTGTTTTTTGACATTTGATCCAAGCAGGGAAATTAGAGCCTGTAGCGCTAACTGATTGGCTGACAGTCAAAATCTAATCAGGCAGCATGCCATGGCCTTGATCGTATTGATCTTGAACAAGCAGTTCACATTAAGCATTTACAGCACGAGAATAATCTTCAGTGAAACACAGAAACAAACCTAACATCCATTTTCTCAAAAGTACAGTTGCCCGTGCTTATTTTGACAGTATTCTTGTAGGCTATTTTTTTTTTTTAGCTTAATTGATTAATAAACACATTGTTAAGAAATGACTCTAAATCTAGAGTAAAATCATTTTTATCTAGCAATTAAATAAAAAATTAGGGCTGTCAAACGATTAATCGTGATTGATCGCATCCAAAATAAAAGTTTGTGTTTACATAATATATGTGGGTGCACTGTGTATAATTATTTTATATATATATAAATACAAACACATGCATGTATACATATAAGAAAATATTATTTGTATATAAAATATTTATATTTATATATAATATAAATTATGTATAAATCTATATATAGTATATACATAAACATATTTCTTAAATATATACAAGCATGTGTGTGTATTTATATATATATAAAATAATTACAGTGCACAAACTTTTATTTTGGATGCGATTAATCACGATTTATCGTTTGACAGCCCTATAAAAAATATAATTACCTGAAGTGGAAGCTAAAAAATGTTGTATAGCGTTTTACAATATCAGACACAGCTGTGAAATTTGAAATGCAGTGATGAAATGAATATTTGTCATGCTGAATGATTAGATAACTTACCAGTACCTTTTTACATGGTCACATCAACTAGCTCAGAGAAGATACAAGTTAAATGCTGACAGTGAACCACAGGATGCAGAAGAAGCAAACTTATTAAATATTTTAAATATTTAGAAATTAACAGCTGAACCATTCATTTCCTTAAAATCTAACTCATTAAGAATATTTAATAATTGTAATGTTTTGAGTTTTTATTTAATTAAAAGCTGTTTGATGCAAAGGCAAAGATGTCAATGTGATGAAAGAGTTCTGATGTAGTTAAGTGTTGATATTGATGGAGAGAAATTATGCCACAACACATACTGCATCTTGTCTCCCTTTTCGCATTGTCATGGAGAGTGCAAAGCGGTCAAAGCCTTGCCCTGTTATGGCTTGTTTCCACTGAACTGGACACAATTATTTCCGTTTCCACTGCCAAAAGTTGTGAATGGAACTACCAAAATGCCAAACCGTATTGAACCACTTTTTCGGTACCATTCCATTAGGGTACCAAGCCCAGGGGTACGGTAGGGTGGAACTAGACTCACGGCAGAACGTGGATTGGTTGACAAACTTGACAGAGAACCGTCACTTGCTCATGCTACAAGGGGAATGACAACATAAGAAGCGCCATTTTTTTAATATACAGTTGAAATATAATACTACTGTTATTATGTCACGAAATGCAGTTTTAAAGGTTTTTCAGGTTAGAATAGTTGTTTAAAGCTCAAATCTGTGGTTTATTTATAAAGATTTGATCCAGGTTTTGAGATCCATTCCAGGCGGTCACCGGGTGCTCTGCGCTCATGAACCCCACCTGGAACAGCCTTTCCTCGGCTAGACGTTCTGACGTTTGCCACTGAGTCTGACGTCTCTAGTGGTTAAACATGAGATATAATTAGTCTTTTTTTAGACGAGTGATCTTTTATGGGGTTAGAATTGTTGCATTATTCCAAATAAATAGATTTAGATTCACAAACAAATGGAAAGAGTCATTTGATGGAACAAATGGAAAGAGTCGACGTGTAGACAAATCCACAAATAAGTGGACTCCACCCACCGTTTCCTCAAGCCAATCAGATAACGGCCACATTGAGCTGAACAATCATAACACGTTCTCGCTACAACCAATCACGCTAGGCTTTACACTCGGGGTGAGAACTGAATCTGATTCATTTTGAAGATATTTGCTCCCTTGAAATGGAGCTGTAATCTATGGGCGCGTCATTTAAATTGAGCTGTTTGTGGTTAAAACACCCTGTTTCCAAAAGATTGTTGGAGTTTAAGGCTTCTTTAAATTTCCATCAGGATAAACTCAGGATTACACACAAATTATGAGAGCAGCGTGACACGATGATTCGTTGATAGTAAACGGATGCCCGTTCTTCTTCTGAAGTAGCGACTGCACATGGTGGACATCATTTGCACTTTTGCTTTGGGGGGGGGTAGACAGACAAGATGTAAGAAATGACAAAATGGATGATTTTGTCTTTAAAAGCACAATCGTGGCGACAAATAGCTAGCTATGGGACATACATATTATGAATACCAAATATCAGCCCAAATGACCATCATTGAAGATGTAACAGCATGGGGTTTTGAGTGGATCATGAAAAAATAAAAGTTTATTTGCTGTAAGTAACTTTTACAATAAAATATTATTAAGTCATATATAATATTAATTTTTATTATTTTTACGTTTTAATGGGTGAATAAATGCAAATAGCTTGTCTGCTGGGCATTTCACTTTTAAATGCATGATACATGTTTAATGCACTATGGATCTGCTGCATATTGTGACAGTAATTTCACAAACTCGCGTATTTATCACAAGTTTGAATCCAGTTATTCATTAGTCAGCAACTTATTGATGCTTTTCTGTTTTATCATGAAATTAAGATCTCAAATCAATGAATAACGTGACGCGTTCATAACGTTTTGTTCATATAGAGATGTAAGCACTATTTCTCTGGCAGTTTCAGAGGCTCATAAAAATGTGCCTTGGCTTGGTACACACTCGAATGGTCTAACTCTAACGAAATCCAAATTTTAAACATATTTTACTGGAGCAATATTATGGGCCTTAGTCTTACACTTCCTATTTGAGCCGATGCAGATGAATGAGCAAAGTTATTCAGGGCAAGACCACCCTGAGTGTAAAGCATAACGTGATTGGTTGTAGCGAGTACCTGCTATGATTGGCCAGCTCAATGTGGCCGTTATCTGATTGGCTTGAGGAAACGGTGGGTGGAGTCCACTTATTTGTGGATTTGTCTACACGTCACACTAGAAGTGTTTCAAAATCCACAAATGCGTAAGGGGATTTACAAATGCACAGGTTTACAAATAAATGCTTGGCAGAGTTGTGTCTGTGACATGAAACACAAAGGAAAGGAGTGACACTTTCAAGAACGCGCTGTTCAATTTGCAGAATTACTGGAATCGCGTCCTCGGGAGTCATTCTCCTGAGTCAGACTTGGCAAGTCCGAACTTTGCAAACTTGGTATTGAGAAACGCCTAATGTCGGCACTTGACTAAAACAGCCACATGCCGAGAAGCAAGAACAAGATCTACTGTATGTCATCCATTGTTGCTTACTATGTCGCTTTCTTTTTTGCGTGAAAATTACATCAATCGCTTCGTTCCAGCATAGGCTACACCATGCCTATCAAGTATGGTACTGTTGGCAGTGGAAACGCAGCATAGTTTACCATCCCAAATCGTAATGTAGCGTACCGTACCGCTCGGTGGAAACAAGCCATTAAATTCAGTTTGAGCAGGAGCTGTTATACAAGTATATTTGTATGCAGGGGCCTTAGAAAGGCAGGTAACAAGGTGAAAAGGTGGAGAAATCAGTTCAGTGAATGTGTTCCCTATAATCATAGAACATACTTGTTCACACCTGACACCTCTCCAGGGCTTGATTCTCTGGCACTGATACACTTTGACCGTGTGTTTGCACTGTGGAATATAAAGAACCTTGACAGGCCTGTTCAAAAATATATATTTGTTATGGTTTTTTTTTTAAGTTTTTCTTTACAAACTTGGTTAGGGTTTACCAGAAATGTTGACAGCTAGAACAACTATTATAACCCTTTTACTGGAAAATGAAACCATACATTGTGTGATAAAATAATATTAAAATAATCCCCATCCACTGAATTGGCTCTATCACTCTCCCTTACTCTCTCCACCCATAGCTGGTGTGTGGTGAGCGCACTAGCGCCATTGTTTTGTGGCTTTCGTCGCATCATCCAAGTGGACATGACTGTAAAGCGCTCTGGGTGTACAGTAGTACATGGGAAAAAAAGCGCTTTCATTCATTCAAAATGATTACTGATTAGTTTGTAGTTTTGAAAACATTTTCAAGACAATATTTTTTTAAATGTTCTGAAAAGTAGAGCCAAGCTATGAAATGAAGAAGCCACCCCTTTGTGGCAAGTTGTTGACATTAAACCAAACTAATCTGTTTGCAAACATGGTTGTTTTACTATTTCAAAATGTGCCAAACAGCTCTGGCATTCAAATCAGGATTACGGAGAACATGATTCATGTGCAGCTTTAAATATTTCTGGATTTCCCTACTTATATTGGGTGGTCAAATAAATCTAATTATATACACACTCTTGCATCTTGGACTACGCAATTCACTAATGGCCAGTGTCATGTAAATGCCTCATAATGCTTCCCATTTGAAGGGCACACGCTCAATGCCAGCACTCTCCTAATACCTTTCACAGAGCATTGTGTTGTCAGTCTCTGAGGCTCCAGAAGTTCTGGGTTTTCACAGTTCTCTCTGTGAACTCAATGAACCCCCTGGGGAAAGGCCCACGTCCGACAACCCCCATCCTTTCACCCGGTCCAGCATCTTCAGCCCAAACCACGGGGCCAATTTGGACTTGAGCCCAGACCTGTGGCATCTAGTAAATCTTGACAAGTTGGGTGGTTTATGTCAGTGAATGTGGCTAAGGAGAGGTAGTCGTCGGCGGAATCACAACCTGTTTGTGCCATTTCAAATCTGAAAAAAAAGGCATAAACGAGATTGTTTTGTGAGAAAGAACCGCCATTAACAAACTTCTTTGGTCTCTTACAGATGATGTGACTCCATCTAAGTCCAGCCTGTACTTCCTCATCTCCAATGAGGGGAACCAGAACCTCTACGTGGTGCAGGCACACCTGTGGCTGTACTTCAAGCTGTTGCCAGGCGCTCAGGAAAAGGGACTGCGACGGAAAGTGACAGTGAGAGTGCACTACTATGAGCCCGGCGGGCAGAACATGCACTGGCCCGTGATGGAAAAACGCGTGGAGTTGAAACGCAGCGGTTGGCACACCTTCCCTGTGTCCGAGGCTGTGAGGGCAATGCTGGCGAAAGGGGGTCGCCGCCAGGACCTCGACATCCACTGCGAGGGATGCGAAGCTGCCAACGTTTTACCCATCCTGGTGGACCCGAGCGACCCCTCACACAGAGCCTTTCTGGTGGTTCGCGCCCAGCAGGCTGAAGGGAAGCACCGCATCCGAAAGCGAGGCCTGGAGTGTGACGGCAACAACGGCGGTTTGTGTTGCCGGCAGCAGTTTTACATCGACTTCCGGCTCATTGGCTGGAACGACTGGATCATCGCGCCAGCGGGGTACTATGGGAACTACTGCGAAGGCAGCTGCCCGGCTTACATGGCGGGTGTGCCGGGCTCTGCCTCGTCGTTTCACACGGCGGTGGTTAACCAGTACCGCATGAGAGGCATGAGTCCTGGTTCGGTCAACTCCTGCTGCATACCCACCAAACTCAGCACCATGTCCATGCTCTACTTCGATGACGAGTACAACATCGTCAAGCGCGACGTGCCTAACATGATCGTGGAGGAGTGTGGCTGTGCCTGAACAAAATCCACGTTACGAAAGCAGTGACAGTCAGTCTTTCTGAACCACGTGCATATAGATTGTGTTAATATTTGTGCACTCACAAAGTACAATCACGCACATGTGTGTGTGTGTGCATCAAGCAGTAGATCATCAGATGTATGGCAGGCTTTGAGGCTTTGGGATGATAAGGGAAATGGAACAACAACCTGGTTTTTCTCTAGTTTGCCATTTCTAGACTTAAAAAAAATGGCTCAATACTTTCCTCTCCAACTGCAAAAAGGAGACAAACTGGTGTCACACTTTGATACAAGTACTTAGAAACTGTTTTACAAGCACTGGCATATCTCGATGTCCCTTCTACTTTTCAGAACACCAGCACTTCAACAGCTTGTTTAAGACAAACTATTCCAACTGAGGGGGAGATTTCGAAATCAGTGCATGTCATCGTCCCAGTCGTTCTCAGAGGTATTCCCTTAGCAATGACTAGTTGTCTGCGGCATAGTTAAACCATCGTGAGGCTTCTACTCGAACTGCAAACACCTCTGGACAAGATCGTCTTTAAACTGTTCTACTAATGTGATCTTGAGGTCTAACCGTTACAGCACAAACTTCACCGCTTCCTTCATCCGCGCAGTTCTGTGACTGACGGTGTGCATTCTGTCCAGCTGGTTTACAGGGAGTACAGCACTTGCGAAAACTCTCAAAATGCACAATTTAAAGCACTTGCATAATGCAAAGCCTTCAAAAGGGTAGAAAGAGGTGGACCTACCCTTGCCCATAGTCCTTTTAATATAAAGTGCCGCACGAACTATGCAATGTATTGTAATCCTGAACTATGTCAAACTGAATTCTTCTTTCTGCTTGTCTTGTCTAAATCTTTATCAATACTTGAAATGTGATCTTTCGCTTGCTTTCCAAAGCGGATGATTGTTACGATGTTTGCACTGAAAAGTTGCGTGATTAGTTAAAAAAAGAAAACTGCCATTGAAAATGTTATTTTTATAGTAAAACTGAATTTTGTGAAAAAAATGTATTGTACCTAATTAATTGTACCAAAGAGGCCAATATTTTAGCTGTTATAATAAGGTGGCAAGGCCATTCCAATATTTGTAAAAATAATTATTGATAATAATTATTATCCTTCTCAAGAGGCCTAATAATCAGGGTACAACATTATGGATTCCATTTGTAGCTCTGTCTAATTTTTTATACTATGTGTACAGCAAACCGATGAAACAATCTCTTCCTTGTCTTTAATTTTCCAGTCTTCTATTTAATAAAAGCTATTTCTTAGCTGTCGTTAAAGTCATTTAGTTAAACGGATGTCATCTCTGTACAGATTATGTCAAATAAAAATATTCTTTCTTAAATATTTTGTAACTTTAAAATAAATTCTTACTTTGCATCCCCGTGAACGAGTTGCTTTTAACAGCGTGTCAAATTTACAATACAGATTGTTCATTGGCATGCATTTAAAAGAATATACCAGCTAGACTGAGTCATGCAACCGCTGAAGTTCTGCAAGTCTGCAAAAGCGCTTCGTTCACATAATTAGTGGAACACATTGCCTTAACTTAAACCACACAGCACACACTGAGATATCGATCAACAAATTGAGACTTATACATACACCAGTTAACACTTTCCACATAAATGCAATGCTCCATGGTTTCAATATTTGTCATTCTTAGTACATTCTTGGCTCAGAGTCAAGAGGGCTCTCACTGCACAACATGTAGGCACAGAGACTGATTACATCAGAGTGGATCCCCTGAAAGCACTATCAACAAGTGCTGCCTTTTCTGAGCCCTACAGGTATAAATGCAAAATATGCGGCACTAAAAAAAAACCTAAGGCAAACAGAGACACCAGACCAGCACACCTACCAACGGTCAGGGCGTTTCAGACAAATCCTTGGTACAACACTACAAAACGAAAAGCACTTTCCAAAACATAACCCAAGTCAGATAACTCCCTGAGGTGTACCTGTCTTGCATCTGTCAAGAGAGGAAGATAAAGTGGTGTGAAAAAATGACTTGTTTGTAGACGTCCTCTCAGAATGACAGCACAACATAGACGTGAGTCAGAACTGACACCCACATGTAACAAAAATAAATATTTCGCTTTTAGTTTCTAAGTCATGGTAGTTGGAATGTGTTTATATGTATTTGTTTGTGTAGGTGGGTGTTCGGCGTGAGAAAAGGAAGAGAGACGTTCGGAGAGGAGCGGCGGCAGGTAGAGAGATTCAGGCAGAGCTGTCCCGTCATGTAGCGGAGCGTTAACGGTGCCGCTATGACTGCTGGAATGTTAATGACACCATAGCTACGCTGCAGGCAAACTCATGAAGCCACACACACTTTAAGAAAACACCTCAAACCATCTCACATGACAAAACACATACAATACAATCTGTACACACCATCTGAGGTTAACAGGTGTTAAGAGATTAATGGGGACTAAATAGAATGTAAAACAACATATAGACACATCATTTGTCATTATTAAGGGGAAAAATGCTTCGAATTTCATGAGCAAACATATGGATCTACTAGGTTCACATTAATGTTTTTGCGTTAATAAATTGCATGATGTTTTCAAACAAAACAAAATGTTATAAAACATGAAATTTATGTAAAAGAAAAAAAATTACAGTAGACTTGTTAAAAAATCTATTTCAAATAACTTCTGTTTTTAAACATTAAAGAATCATAGGTTTGCACAATTAAAGGTGCAATAGGCAGGATTTTTGCAGTAAAATATCCCAAAACCACTAGGCCAATGTTATATATTTTGTTTAGGTGATTACTTACAAAACCCTAAATATTTCCAACTATTTGTAAATCGTTAAAAAATTGCGATTTTTAACCAAGGAAACGGGGCATGTGAGCAGGGGTGAGGAGTCGGCAGTCAATGACGTCATATCTGCGTTACCCCCGGTTTCCGCCAGGTTTGACCTCGTATGCAGTAACCATGGCGACAGACGTGGGCAACTGGGTCGGTTATGCCCGTTATGCGTGCTCAGTTGTGTTCAAACATTATGGACCATGGCAAGCAGACTTTGGGACAAAAAGAGGACTAAAACGAAGATCAACATCTTTCGAGCTCCACCTCTGAGACTAACTCTGAAAAAATGTCACGTTAAAAATATCAATGTATTCACTCATCCATAAAAGATCCATCAGCTTGACGACAAGATCCATAATTCCGCTTAATGCGGAATATACGTCATTAATATACGCCTTTATTATTGTAAGAGGTTAGCGACCCTGGTGGCGAAACAATCTTGCATATTGTACCTTTAAGCAGCTTAACTGTTTGAAAACATTGAACATTGATAATAATAAGCAATATTACTGGCGCTCCAAATGAGTATATTAGAATGATTTCTAAAGGATCATGTGACACTGGAATAATAACTGCTGAAAATTCAGCTTTTCCATCAGAAATCACATTTTAAAATATAGTAAATATTATATTCACAATAGCGCTACTTTTACTGTTCTGATTAAACAAATTCAACCTTATGTATAAAAATCTCAACGACTGTCAATTTTTGTAGTGAACACGAGTAACTGTGACTGTATAAATCTCTCAAGAATTTCCCTGTGTTTTCCCCAACTTTTTATTTTTTTCACACAAAAAAATGACCTGCACGAGGCCTGTGAACACTCAGAGAGGGATTACAGGCTAGAGTAAGAAAACTTGAGAACTTGCAAGCATACTTGAGTGGCCCACTGAGCAGAAGGTTCATTAATCAGGCAATTCTCTTATGCCACTTCAAACATTTAAGGAACAAACTAAACCAAAAAGTTTAGTTCAAAAGCTCGAATCTAAATCTAAAATGAATGATCCCGACAGCCATGTTCGAAGGAAACACCTTTTACTCAGCAAGGAAACAACCTAAGGTTTGTCACTCTCCACCTCCCTCCTCCCCTCCACATTGACCCCTTGACTCCCTGAGCACTAGCAAACATTCAAGCCAACAAAGCTTATTTGTGCCATGGTTCTACTTAGTACCGACTAGGGGATCAGGGATCAACGAGGGTCACCTCTATAGGGAACCTAGGAGAGAGTCACCACTGTGAAAGAGCTGATAGTACAGTGTATGGCATAAAAAGGGCAACTAAACACTGAAAGCCCACAGTCAACCACCCCTAACCTTCTGTCTGGCATCCAAAACTCATTTGATATCCATCATAGCCAAACACGATGTTGATGTTGGCTCTGGTCTGCCCATTGACTGGGCTAAATGAAGCTGCTTTGTGGCAGTGTTCTGAAGGATTATTTTAACCTTTGGAGAACGGAAGAAAAGCAGAAAGAAGACTTGTGCCTGTGAGTGATTCCCCGCGCGTACGCCACAGTTAAAAGGAGAGCCAAGAGCAAACAGCTGGCCTTTTGTTCTGCCAGGCAGAGTTTCTGCTCGCATTCATGTGACGTGGTGCATGCAAGGGCTGAAACCGCTGATGGTGAGAGTGACAATGACGCGTACAAGTGAAACTGCCGCACAGATCTGCCTTCAAGTTCACAGACAAAGGCCTGCGACTCTCTGATCTCACAACACAAGGAAAATATGGGGGGAAATAAGGGCATATTTGCCTCGCCGAGCACACTGTTTGCAAGAGGGGGAATTCCATTGGAGGGGATTTCAGGTGTGGTTGCACATTCATCGCAGGCCACTTTAAAGCGAACCATCGTGCCTGCTGCATGGCTCATCATCACGGCTCATTATTTTGCAGGTGCCTTGTTGTTTTCCATTGTTCAGCCTTTAGGGGATTTTTATGATTTGACCAAAACAGAGATGCTGACTGTGGGTGTCTCAAGATGCTGCCGTCTCCATCACGGATGGAAGAAAGAAGACCTTTGTGAGGAGAAACTGATGTCGGAAGAGACGTGTAAGAGAGAAGGGCAGTGGAAAGAGTAGGGGAACGTCGCTCTTGGGTGACACGCCTATTGGTTAAAAGGAAGCTAGAAACAAAGACACAAAGAGAGAAGGCAACCTGATCAGATGAAAAGACACACAGAGGCTTGACATGCTCTTCTATGCTAATGAATGTGGACAATGTCAATATAAATTGAGGGAATGCTCCTCAAGTAAGGGAATAGTAGGCATCACATCATCAAAATGTGTCTGGAGACAACGTATAACTGCAAAATTGACAAGTGAGCTACAGTTATGCACGCTGCACAATGGACGTTTCCCATGGACGAAGCCTCATTAATAAAGGCCTAGCTGTGAATTATGAATGAAACGTTGACTGACCTAAGGATGTTACAGGGCATCCACGATTGCCCTACATGCTGGATTGTATAGGGCTGAAAGAATTCTATTAATTTTTCAGGTCTCTGTGCCAAAAAGAAAAAATAAACAACATTTCAGTTGAAAAAGTGTATTTTCAGGGCATTTAAAGTGCACATTTTCTTGTTCGAATTTTAAGTGTGAACCGCATACAAAATTTATACTACAAAAATTGCTTTTGAATAGTGCATAATTAACTGCATGGGATGCATCCATTGTCTTTTTATGAGAGCAGTACCTGTACCAAGATAATAAAATGTGTTTATATTAAAAAAATCTTTTTCAATAAATCAGTGAAATGTTGCTTTTTATTCAAGTAATCAAAGAAATAATCAACAGATTAATCAAATACCAAAATAATCGAATTAAATAAAAAAAATAACAAAGACATTAGCAACGCAATATGTCTTTTAACATGTTGGAACCATAGACTGTATAAAAAGATGGACGATGCCCCTTCGCTCTTTTCCATCGGAGTGAACTGAAGCCGCCAGTGTCCCGATATGGCGCTGACATCTTGGGACATGAGTCTGCACACTTCTGTTTTCAGGACCAGACATGAGCAGTTGTGAGCAGGAAGTAAAGCCGCAAAATGAAGGCCCCGCCCTCATTCTCGCTGAATCAATCACAAGCACACGCCCGGCACTTTTCTTAAGTAGCCTATGTCTGTTCTGTTCCTCTCCGATGATGTCTGCTGATTGCAGAACCTCATTAAACAGCCCGTTCTCATCCCAAGGGGTTACCTAACTGACGCTTTTGACCATGCGTCAACATCCGACGCACATGGCACCCTTTAGCGTCAAAATAAGACGCGCCTAGTGCTCTAACCCTAAACCTACCGCAGAACTAAACCTACCCGCGTCATCTAACTGACGCTAAAGGTTGCCATGTGCGTCGGATTTAGACTCATGGTCAAAAGCGTCAGTTAGATGATGCCCTAAGATGAGCGTCATCTAACTGACGCTAAAGGTTGCCATGTGCGTCGGATTTAGACACGTGGTCAAAAGTTTCAGTTAGATGATGCTCTAGGATGAGAGTTATCTAACAGACGCTAAAGGTTGCCATGTGCATCGGAT